GCGCGAATTCAGCATCTTGGTCGTCTCCGAAATTCTTCATTGCTCGCTGTCTAGCGCATGTCATGTTGATTTATCGCCATTCTTTCTTTGACCCTTTTCCGTTACTTGTATAAAGGATTGGAAATACCTGTTCCGTGGTCGCACATAATGCTGCTAAAACCGAGGAAAATTTATCGCGACTACAAGTCGCCGCAGTACGGCCATCCCCGCCAGTAGCAGGGGTGTTACTTTATTTCACTTCCGTTACGTCATTGCTATACTCATGTGGACGCGTGTGAGTAGGTCCCTTGCACACCTTTGTGTAAACCCACTGCAGGCGTCACGGCCACAGAGTCTGCCATAAATTCGACCGTGGGATTTCGCCAGGCCCGAGGAAAAGGGATCGGTCCTCTTACGGGCAACCTTAGCGAAATTATGTTATTTGATTTAGAGGACTGATAACCGGCGGAAAGTCGATGAAGTAAATTAAACGAGCGGCAAAGACAGAAGGAGAAAAGAGAGAGAGAGATGGAAAGAGCAGCAAGCGCGCGGTTGTTTCTCGAAAGATTTCCTCTCTCGCGCTTCTCGATAATCCTCTCGGGGACAATGGGAAAGAAAAAGGACGAGTTTCGGAGCCGATAATTCGAGCACGACGGCGGATCTCGGAAAGACGAAGGGGATCGAGAATCCACGAGGAGAAGAAATGAAAGCGGAAAGAGAAGCCCCGATATCATCTCAAGAGCGTCTCACCGATGCTTTTAATTGATTGCGGAAATTGAGTTTCGCCCCTTCACCGTGTTTCGCACCTGTACTTAATATACATGTATATAAGCTGAAAGGGCAGAGAGCGCGAATTACTTTTTCAGTTTCGAAAGTTTGTCGGCGCGATGCGATTTTTATCCTCCCGCGGATTTCTCTATTCTTTCGCAACTCTTGTAATCATCGCGGGTCTCGTTTACAAACGTTGGACTCACGTCGAACTAAACGAGAGATAAAGAAAGATAAAGGGAGAGGGAGACACGGATTTGTCCTCTGCGATTTATTTTTCGAACGATAAAACTTGCCGGACCAACTTTCGAATAACTTACAGTCATTCCTGATAAAATATGTTTTCTGGAGATGAAATATGCGCTGGAAATTTCCCGCGGTTCGCCGTCCCTTCCCGGCAACGAGAAACGTCCGAAACTTTTTTCTTCCTTACGAGCTTCTTACGAATGCTACGGCACTGGCTGGGTCGACTGGGTTGTCTTCCGAAGCTTTGAGGAGACAGTCAACTAAAATTAATTTTTCAAACTTTTAACAATTGCAATTAATTGTTGGACGTTTGTTGGTTTTTGTCGACTTCTGATTTCGACATTTCTTCGTAAATTAATTCAATTTTTATCGACAAAGCAATTACCGGTGTAAGTAAAGTTTACCTGTCTAATTTTAAATTTTTTTTATTTATTATACGTCAAATAAAAATTAATTATTAATCCCAATTATGTTTTCAAGTATGATTTTCGCGAGGCATTATTTATTAATTATAACAAAAATAATTATTTTCAATAGCGCACATATTGCATGCGTGACTTTCAATCCAATTTGTATTGCGAATATATGCGTAACATATGAATTATAGGAAAATTGATTATCGAAAGAAATTTGATATTTAAAAAGTCAGTGATAAACAGACACATTAATCACACAGATGCAGTATCAATTTTGGTTGCGCAAATAACATTATTTCCAGAAAGATTAACTTCACGGTTGGACATCGTACACGCACATTATGTGCGTTATTGAAACTAATTATTATTTTGTTATAATCCGTCAATAATCATACTTGAAGAGATAATTGGTTCGACAATCGCTTTCCTATCGATTTGACATGCAATACAATTAGAGAAAAATAAAAAATTTCTATTAAACAAACTAATTTTACGCTGATATTTATTTTACCGATAACAAATAACCAACAAACATGAAAATCAGGCCAACAATTAACCAACAAACGAGCAATGATTAGTTGCGATTGTTAAAAGTTTGAAAAATTCATTTCGCTTGACTCGACAGAGTTGTCTTTCGAAAGAATGCGTTTGATCAAGTGGAAAGGAATGGAACAATGGGGAAAGCGGAGACCCGCTTTACGAGCATGTCAACGAGCGATCACGTCAAGCGGAATTGCGGAGACGTACACATTCGCTCTCGTTTGCCGCGCGATGCATTCGCATTCGTCGGACTGTCAAAGTACCAGAGTACCAATTGAAGGGCGGGGGAGGATGAGGCTGACATGATTGCCTTTGACGCGAGAGCAATGAAGTAACGGCGCTCGTACACCTCGTGGCGCAAAACCCTTTCTGTAATTCGCGCTTCTCGAATCTCGTCGCCTACAACGTCTAGCTATTAATCCTACCCCACCGTATATCCGTGCGAGGGAGGAAACGAGAGATACGCCGAGTACGTTGCCGTGTATACACACGTCCAACCCCGGTCTCTCCACCGTGCGCCTCGACTGTCTGTTAATATAATGCATGACACGCGCATGCAACACTTCCCGCGCCGAAAACAGCACGCACGTACGCTCGCTCGGCACGCACGCACGTCTCGCCGTTGCATAGAGAGCCACCTCCCTCCTCCCTCCGCCGCCCCCGCTTCTCCACCGCCCCCGCTATCCCGAGGGTAACCTACCGCGAGAATAATCCCGCGCGGTTGTAATTTCGGGAACGCCTTTCAGTTACCGATAATTAGCCGATAATCTCTTTCCGAGGGAACTTTGGTCGCGGTCCAGCGGCTATTTAATCGCGCGTTCTTCGCTATTTCTTCCTCGTTTCTCTCTCTCTCTCTCTCGACCCTTTATACTTCTCCCGGCTCGCTCGATCCTACCCTTCCCAGTCCCTCGTTTCCGCCGTTCTACCCACGACTAACCTTTGTTTCCACCCACCTTGCAAGTTGGTAGAATCCGCAGCCAAGTTATATCGCCCCGCCGTTACTTGAATAAATATTCCTAATTTCGTACTTGTCTAACTCCGGACGTACGTAAAATATTCCTACCTTTATGCATCCCCCGTTGAGCGTTAAGAATACGTAACTGTGACTCTCGGCATTGTTTAATTTTCCGAGTCTGCGAAACGCGTCGGCACGGCTCGCTGCGAGCCGCAGGGGTAGGTAGGTAGGAAGAGGAGCGCTTATCTCACGGCTTTCGTAGATTTCGCCCTCGTTTCTCCTTTTTTTTTCTCGCGCCCAGCTCGTGGAGGAGCGAGTAGTTACTCTAGCCTTATATAAATGCTAATATAAATGTTGTATATCGCTCCCCCGGATGCGGGCGATGTATCTTTGGCAAAATTACAGCCGCAGCCGCGGTCTCTTTCCATCGAGCCTCGTACGAGCAAATTTTTCGCGAGGAATTCACGCGCGAAATTTGTCATGTCCCTCCCCCTCTCTCTCTCTCTTTCTTTCTTTGCGCGCGGTGATAGATCCATGACATATACAAGGCGAAATCAAATCTTGGCGCAGCCCTCTGACACGACGGGATACGTGTCTTGAAAGTTGTCGGCGCCCATTCTCAAGCCACGACGACGACATTGATTCCGGAATAAGGCTGAAAAATATGTCGACTCACTCCCCAACTATGTGGAATTCGCTGTCGCCACCTTTAATCCCGTCCTGCGTTTCTGCTCTCGACAACTTCTCTCCCTCTCTCGTCAGATCTCGCGTCCGGATTTCGCTTCCGAGTCACTCGCGCGCTTATATAAATGCTAATGTTATACATCGATGTGGTTCGAGAGAGATCCGCCGCCTCGAACAAGTAGTACAAATTTTGAGTCGGATGTAATCCATCTCGCGATATTGCGCTCGACGCCGTCTGTGAAGATTGATCGATACCGACCTTTTCGAGATAGCTCATTAATTAATAGGAACAATCGAGGAACGTGCGATCTCGAAATTGATTCGACGGAAAAGAAAAGACTTGAAAGAGCGTTTTATATACGTGCTGCGCGATACTTTAGTAAAGTTATTTGAAAAAAAAAAATATACGGACACACAAAAGGGAGAAGAGAGGTGTATGCCAATAATATATACGAATAAAGATCTGAAGAATAAACGCGCTGTATTTTTTTGCATAGCACAGGCGGTCTCTTTTTGAAATCGCGAAAAATGGGTCGGCTGAATCTCGAGGTCGTATCCTTCAACCGTATCGACAGCGCTGCCGACGTCGTCACCAAATGCAATTTCAAAGTAAAATAGAAAAACTTTTTCGAATTATACGGAACAATCGGGGTGCGCGCTGAACAATTAAATACTTCCCAGTTCAAACTTATTGAATAAATTATGTAAGGCGGAGTCGTTTCAGCGACGATTAATATACCAACGTTAAACGCCAGGTCAGGGCTTTCTTCTTTCCCGGTTTTTTTTTCCATCGCCGCTAATCGAATTTCTCTTCGGGGATCTCGGCGCGAAAGCTATCGTTAAGCACGATTCGCGATGTATGTACGCGAGGCCGGAACGATCGGTCGATGCCAACCGTGTGTTGGATTTCGCGCCAAATGTGCTGGCTTAGGCAGCGTGCATGCATCCATTTACCAGCTCCCATGATCCCATCGACGCGATCTAGGCTTGAAAAATGACTAGCAATAAAATCTCTCGAGCGTGAAACGTGATCCGAGAAAAAGAAAAAGAAGAAGAGGAGAGAAAAACGGCGGAGTAACCAAGTTTAGGAGCAAAAAGGAAGGTCGAGGAAGAAAAAGAAAAAATCTCTTCCCAAAAATGTTGCCTTTGGAGAGTTTTCTCCTGCCAACGTACTTGATATGCCGGACAGACGAGACGTATCGATCCCTCTATTTTTGATTCGGTCGAAAGGACTTGTTGTGGTCGGGCTTCTCGAGAATTCTCGAGCGACCGCCAATTTTCTTGCCGCATCCCTCGTTTCTGGCGAAAACTAATCTCGTTTCCGAAATAATGGGCGCTTACAACTACGCAGATATATCAAGGCGAGCGTTTCCGCGGCATAATGCAGCTCGGCGTTGCGCATAGCTACTTACTTGGAATATCCCAAACGCTGTGCCGAGGTGTTCATTTGTCCGCACGACCGTCGTCACGATCATTACTCTCTCCGGCTCCTCTACGTCTGCCTGTCTCTCTCGCTCTCTCGTTCCTCTTCTCCCTCTCCGTCTCTCCTTCTCCCCTTTCCCATTCGCTTCTCTCACGAATAATTTCTCTCTCTCTCTCTCTCGCTCTCGCTTTCTCTTTCGTCGCCCTTTCCTCTGGCACCCTCTCAATTTTCCGCAGTCCCCTCTTCCGTCGTTCACAAACACCGTGTACTAGGCGCTTCCAACTATCGAGAGCAAAGAACCGCGTAGTAGATTCGCGCTACGCATCGTAGGCAAGCGTGTGCAGAGATGCACGCGTACGATACATCCGCGCGCGCGCATACCTCAAGGCTCAATCCACTGCAAACATCCCGCGGGTCTCATCCACCGAGGGAAATGGTACGGTTCTCCTTCTCGCGGTGCGAGGGTAAACGCGTTCGCGGTTCGACCCACTTTGGAAGAGCGCAATTTCACGCGATCCGACCTCGCTGTCTTTGCCCGCTCGATCGATCGATGACTCCGATCGGTGATGCGCCTATTGAGCACGCTCTGCTACAATCTCGATGTCGCAATGCGTGTCAATCGCAACGTCGAGTCCTCTCTGGTACCGCTACTGCTGTTTCCGAACGTCATATTCGATTTTTGTGCGGCCACGGTCGCCAGTCGGCTAACGACGACGCGGCGAGCGTAGATCTCGGGGCCGATCATGACGGACCCCCTATTCCTCGCGCTGTCCGCTCGTCCTGTCGCTCATCCTGTCGCGGGTCGCGCTCGTTATACACTGATCGGGCCGAGAGCGGAGAGACGATCTCGTCTCGGGATCGGCGGGGATGCTGGGACACGAGAGGACCATGTGCGGTGCGCGCGCGCGCGCGCGCGTGCGACGCGGGTGCTGTGTGTGCGTTCCAAAACACGCAGAAGGCCGCGCGTCCGTGTTGGTTGCGAGCGCGTTTTCGTGTGCGTTCTCGAAGGCACGCAAGCACCGCGTCAACGCGTCAGGTCGGAGGCTGCGGGCCGCCCGCGGTCCAGGCTGCCGCGCGATACACTGCGAGCCGACGGTGCCGAGCGCCCGGGAGAACCCGCGGGAGCCCATTCGTGGGTGAACGAAGCTCTCCGAAAATCTGCGAAGATCCTCGATTCGATACACTCGGGGTCGCGCCACTAGCGCGTCGAAGGACACGGACGGACCACCGGGACTACCTGTCGGACCGATCACAGCATCACCACCACTGTGAAAGGAGCGCGGGATCTCTCTCGCCTCTCCTTCTTCTCTCTCCCTCTGCGGGAAGCGGACTCGCTCGCTCGCTCCTCTCGATAAAAGTCTGCAATAAAAGAACACGTATCGCGATCGTTTTTCTTTCCCTTCTTTTTCCCCTTTTTATTTCCTTTTCTTCTTACCCTTGTCGAACGCCGCATGATCACTTACGTGCTTTTAACAGGCGGAAAATTGAGGCCGGATAGATTCGTTTGGTTTATACGCGCGAGAACGTACCAAATTGACGATTCCTCTAAGCTCGAAATCAGGGATTACACTGTCCGTTGTCGACGAAACACCACGGTCACGGGGCGTTAAACTCGCATTCAAATAGTGGCGCATTGATTTTGGATTATGAATGTTGCACCCGGACACTTGGCGATGGATGACACGCTGCGAATGGGAAAAACTCTCGTGGCAAAAAAAATACGTTTGTAATTAAAATATTTCATCGCGTATTCTTATTATACAGACGTTGCTGTATTTATTCCGCGATAAGACGAATCCCATCTTATAAATGTTATTGTATTTATTACACGATAAGAATCTCATGTATAGGATATTATTCGTTTGGGTGCACTTCAGACTATTCCACGTTTCCTCGATGTTCGCGATGTACTACGTCAACAATGGATTATAGATGTCTTGCATAAATATAGTTGACGTAATTCAATCCTTTCTATATGTGTATCAGTCGCATAAATATTACGTGTCGAAATATATATACATGTTCCATACGCAATCTTCTTTCTCTTCACGTCATCTCGCATCGAAATCAAATATTCCGCACGTCTCCTTATTTCTCTTATTCTGTATTGTTTTTTTCTTTTTTTTCCCCGAAAGGCAGTATTTTTACACGGGGTCGGGTTATGGGATTACGTTCGATAGATACGGCTTCGATCTTTTATTTCTGTGATTTCGATTTCGCATCGTTGCCGTGGCCCGAACCTTTTCGTCGGTTATCGATCGACGCCGGTGACTTCCAGCAATTTCGGTGGCAATGCGCGGAGAACGTCGTTGTCACGAATACAATCTGGAAATATGGATTCAGGATGCTGACTCGCGAACACCGGCTCATCGCACGGGTGGGAAACATTACCGAGGACGGAGCGAATCGATCAGAAAATTGGACGAAATTGTTGCGCGATATAAACGTTGAGAATTATTATTCCCCGTACTTGTTCAACTGGAAATTCAGTGAAAATGCATTGATTTGTCCTAATACACCAAAGAGCTCTCAATTTTTTGCCTCGCTCGTATCTGCGTTAATCCTGAAATACTGTTATCGATTTCGCAATAATTTCTTTCATTGCTCATGGGATATGAATTTTTCACGTATTTAATGCCGCGCATTTAAGGATTAAATCGTACGATTGAATAATATAATTGTATCGCGTGTTGAATTTAAAATATTGGGGTAGAGTCGATGAAAGGTTATCGCCGATAAAGATCGAGGTAATAAAATCCCTTTCGCCCTCTCCCTGACAGTTTGTACTCAATAAAGAGGAATTCTTCGTGAAACCCGTGTAAATCTTGGCCGGAATTCGTTGAACGCGAAGGTACCCGAGATTTGTAAGAGGTCGGCGGGGGTTAGACGCTGCCCGTTCTGATTGGATTCCCTTAGGATGTTCTTCGCGGCGTGCTCTTTTCTAGTCGGTCGTTTCAGAGTTTCATAAGAATGGGACAGAGTAATCGGCTACGGCTATTTTGTTTCCGCGATGAACCAGTCCGCCTTTTATTCCGTATAATGAACCTCATTCCGTGAATGCGGAGATTGTTAAAGATGCTTTAACATCCTCTTTATTTTTTTCCCGAATGTGTACTTATCATTTCTGAGCGTTCTTTGCGCATAATCATCATAATTGAGACGAGAAAATTATCTACAACAACGGTCTGTCAGAGCGACAAGGCTTTTTCTCCTTTCGAGGCACAACTTTTCGAAAATATTTATTAAGGGAAATGAAAAGACGTGATGAATCTAGAGTAGAATCTTTTTGCGGGAAATCAAGATGACATTTTTAAACGATTCTCGGCGATGCTGTCGCAGAGGAGACGCAGTATTGATCGAGAGATCCAAATTTCTTGGTGGAGACGCAATGCCGTCCTCCGCGCATCTCTGACCGCGTTTACGCGGAAGGGTCGATCTCGCGGAAAGGGAGAGTGGGGCGGAAGAAGAGCAGCCTCGCGGCGGTGTTTATCAGACGATATGGATACTTTGCGAATCGAACAGTTTTGAATCGTCGATGTGAGCCGAATTAGCCCGAGCATCCTCGAGCCTCTCGTGCCACGCGATCGATTCGAAATAAACCGGAGGTTTCGCGTTGCCGGCCTTCCGCCAACTTCTCCGTCTCTGTCTCTCTCTCTCTCTCTCTCTTCTCCCACACATGCGAAAGATCCGCAGCTTCCCGCGAGATTCGTGCACTGTCCCATATTTAATCAAGAGCAATAGCTTGACGCAAAGTCCTGATCGCGTCTAATCCGGAGCTGACATTACGCGCGAACTGTTTTGGGATTTCCACGATTAGTCACGTGAGAGCTGCCATAGACATACATATTCGAGTACAAGATTATGGATAAAAGAAGTTTTCGCTAATTCACTCGCTAATTTGATAATTTTGATTTTTTCACAACTGCAAGAAAATTGAGTATTTACATTTTAAATTGGAAAGCGAGTTCTTTCGCTTCTTTCTTTGTGTATAATTTTTCTAGAATTTTAGAAAAACAGTCTCTATATTGTAAGAAGGGTAAACTTAAAGGTTCGCTTTTTCATTGAGATTTTCTATCCACTCTCTTCCTATCCTCTCTATATATGTTTTACGTCCGACAAACTTTTGACGACTTCCTGATTGTCGGAGGAGGAGATCCTCGCGGAGATCCTTGACCTGCCTCTCAAAGAAACTGGAGAGAGATCGACTCAGGACCGTTGTTGCTTTTTTTCTCCTTTTACGTCTTTGTACAACTCTTGGCGAGAGAGCAGATGTACTCTTTGACCTCTCAGCGGTTGTGAGTCGTCTCGTTTGTTCAAGGGCTGCCACTGCTTCTTATTCTCGCCTCACCGCATCGAGGCAAACTTTCCCCCGGGATCTCGAAACCTCTGTATGAATCGCGTCGACTGTAATTACGGTGTTGAAAGTACGTGTTGGATTCTTTCGACAAAGTTGCTCGTAACAGATACTGTTGCTGTTTCCCCCAGGACTATAAGCGCAAACGTTTGCTCTCATCTCACGATTCACTAGATATATGTCGTTGGAACAGCAGCAACGTATTGCGCTATTTTATATAACTCCCGTTATATACTGCCTCTCGTCGTCGTGAAAATTTCCGGACAACTAGACGAAATAAGGCAATCATTCTTACTTGACGTGTTCAAGGAGGGTAATAAAATATCTTGATATATTGTTGTAATAAAAATGAAAATAATAAGACTAAAAATAAAATTTAAATTACTTAATTTATATTAATTTCTCTTATTAATTTATTCTAATATAGGAACATAATCGTTGCAAATGTAATAATTATGAATGATCTGATTGATAAAAGACTTAGATCTGTAATCTTTTTTAAAATATATATAATTTAAATATTAAAATGTATACAATTTACGCTGCACTTTTTAATTATATTTATATTGTCTTATTTCATACTTTAACATATTTTTTCATAAATTATTAAATTATTATAATCGCAATAGTCTTTATTCCCATCAATTGTGGCGTCATGAGTTATTTCTGTAGCGCGTCGTTAACAAGGGACTCTTCGCGAGATGGTAACAGAGTTCTCGGAGGAAACTATACCACATGTAGGTAGTCTGAAATTTTGAATGGAATCATTCATAAACACCGATGCTGTCCATTCATTCCAACAGTAGTTACAAAATCATTAATTGACAACTTGCTAGATGGCGTCTCCAATCTTTTACGCGCGTAATCTCTTGCCTGTAAAGTGTGTAAAATATAAAAGTATGTGTGCTTCTCTCTCTTTCTTTCCTTCTCTCTGTCGGCTTTGTCGAATGGAATTTCATATCGAGATTAGAGATCCAATGCGGCATTTCAAAGATTTATGTACGTATATGCGTGCGTAACCTACTGATGAGGCATTGCCTCTTTGTGTCGAGAGTTCCTTTTGATTAAAAAAAAAAAAAAACGATTAGTATTCGATAAGTCACACAAAAGTAGCCGCAACCGTTTGAGTGCCAAGTAACATTTGTTCAAATGGTTACGCGTTATATATCCGGTCTACATATGTACGTGTGTATATGACTCGATCGCTCAAAGCAGCAAGAATTCCTGATCGCGGTGGAAACGATCAATCATTACGCGATGATTATACATAATGATCACCTGCCATGCATATATCCTAAGAATATTCAATGTCAAGGCTCTTAAAGTAGGCGGTACCATTCGATGTGAATATATATGCACTTCTTTTTGCGAGAAATAAATAAGAGTCAACGATCCGCGCTTTTTAATTGCAACTGCAACTCGTGAGGTGGAATTCTGTTGCATAACAATTAATTGTAAATCAATTCTAGCATAATAAAAAGATTTATTAAATTTTTCTCGACAGATTCCCAGTATTTAAAAGTGATTTATCGCGTACGTAAATATTCAGCGTGATGTATGTTGTCGCTCTTTAAATGAAAATTCAACGAATCTCTATAGGAAACGAGAAATACAATCATTTATGTTTTGCCTTAATCATATTGATCATGTCGGAGAAATGGAACCAATAGCGATACGCGTCCGCAGCGGATCTCAGTCGCGATCTGCTACTCATAAATCAATTAATTTTGGTTCGAT